TTAGCTTATTCGAAGTTTCCAATTTTTTATGAAGTTCCTAGAACTTGTGGATTATTCTGCGAATATCTGGGAAGTTCCGTCACCTTCTAAGAAGTTCCCTGAACTTCTACGATTTGTACATGGCTCATGCAAAGATTCATGACCTTCTTGGAAGTTCATTGAATTTATACCATGACTAAACTCATGACTATGACCTAAAAAATGTTCCCTGAACTTCTAACTAGAACATTTCCTCAACTTCTACGACGTTTCCTGAGCTTATTACAAGTTCCATAATTTTTATTTTTCAAGCTCTTTTAATTCTAACATGACCTCTAAAAAAAAGCTTATTTGAAGTAAGATCTCTGATAACTGATACGAACGTAATTTTTTTAGAAATTTGATGAAATTTTCCGATATTTTTCCAGAGTTTGCAAAGCTTTAAAATTAGCTGTCGAGCTTCTACGAGGTTCCCTAATTTTTTCAATGATTTCTGAGCTTCTATGAAGTTTTACGCAGCTCTACAAAGTTTTCTGCGCTTCTACGTTTCTTGGTTTTAAGTTTTTCTATGATTTTTTTCCAATATTTCGTGAAATTGTATGGAATACCTTAATTATTTCTAGTGCATTTAACTTCAACAAAGTTCCCTGAAATTAATAGATGTTCCTCAAAATTTTATGAGGTTCCTTCTGATTAAAAAAAAGTAGAAGGGTCTGTGCCTAGGGGCACGAACGGAAGCTTGACGTAGGACCGCTAGTGGACGGAACAAATGTGACCATTTAGTTCTTTTAATTGATCAATCATCAATTATCTTAACTCTTTCCGTTTTTTATTTGTAAGCGTATCAAATTTGTAGTATTTATTTCAAAGAGAAAGTTGATCCAAGGGACTGTCAACTTGAGTATTTTCGATTCATCTACCCGACTTTGAAAGGTGTATTTTGAATTTTTTGTTATTTATGAATTTTTAAGTTTTGTGCATTTTGGTATTAAAGTGTATTCAATTCGCCCCATTCATATAATTCGGATTTCCTTCCGAATTATATGAATGGGGCGGGGCGGAAAGTATCGTTTGTGCAGAATATGTAAAAAAGGAGGGACTTCGAGAGATTGAACTCGTGAGAGCTAATTTTCTCACAAATTTGATTTTCTTGGCTTTCTGGGGACTGAATATGCACCCAAAGCGAATTATTCCCACTTCTCTCAAATTCTATATGGATTTTTAATACTTCCTACAAGCGTGTTCTGGAAAATGGTCAGACGACGATTAATCTCACCAATACATTCGGGCCTACAATTCCACACCTTCTATAGAGACCAGGTTGAGCCTTGATAACTAGTTGCTTGCGGGACAAATGTCCAAATAATTCTCTTAACAAATTTATGGTGGTCCTCAAAAGGACCGTTCTGAGTGATGGTTGAGTAATGCTGAGCTGAGCACGACGAGCTACTGATTCCGATCCTAGCCTAGCGGTGGGGCTTCTTCCTCCTTCTCTATGGTTGCTCATATGAGCTCTGCAGCTCGCTGCTTGCAGGCAGCCTTTCGTTGTTGTTGTTGTTGAAAGCACTCCTGCTGCTGCTCCTGCTGCTGCTACTACTGCTGCTGCTGGACTGGACACCACCACTTACGGTGATTGAATGAGCACCGTTCAGTGGGACCGCATCGAATTCGATTTTTAAGTCTGTGTTAGGGAATGCGCTGTTTTCAGACATTCGGTGATAATTTTGATCACCATTGCAACAGTTGGACATTTGGTATTTTTCAATAGTGACCTATTGAAAATTAACTAAGTGTTCATTTTAGCAGATTGGTAGATAAATTTCCAATCGTTTGGCTTGTTTAGAATTAAAATCTATCTGCTATTGGTCGAAACCTGACCTATTTTCGTAATGCTGTGCATTTTGGTTTTTTGAAATTGCGTGGATTCTATAGATCCTGTGGAGATCCATCTAGCCCTGATGTATGTGTTGGTAGAGGGAAAAATGTAAACTTTGCGGGAGACGATGTCTTAACACTCGAGAGCAATTTTGTGAAATATGAAGTAAAACAAATCCTAGCTGGTTCCGCATGATGATTTTGTTTGATTTTATGTATTTGTTAAGTCGCTGGGAAATACCCGGTGATTTGTTTTTTATGATAACTCCTTACTTGAAAACAGGCAAAAACTCACAAACAGGCTGCTTTTTCATGGTATACAGTGTGATAATTCAATAATCAATAAATTATCTCACCATTTAGTGGCAAACCATTCATACATTTTGGTAACATACAAAAAATTCTATAATCCACATTAAATTTCATATGTAAGCGCCGATTGAAACAATCTTTTCAACGTCACTACAAGGGTGATTGATTAAACGAAAGAAACGAATCGTGCGGAATGAAAGCCGAGGAAAAACTAATTGCACCAATATATTCAGGCCTAAAATTCCACACCTTCTATAGACAGGTTGCGCCTTGATAGCTAGCTGCTTGCGGGAACTGATGACCTTGACCAATGTCCAAATAATACTCTTTAACAAATTTTTGGTGGCCCTGAAAAGGACCGTTTTGTAGTGATGGTTGAGTAATTCTGAGCTGGGTGTTCAACACGCATGAGGCTGTCGAGCTGTATGTCGTTTGGAGCGAGGGTGACACGTTTGGCATAGATGACCGACCCACAGCGACTCGCGAAGAGCTACTGATTCCGATCCATAGCATAGCGGTGCAGCTTCTTCCTCCTTTGATGGTTGCTTATGTGGGGTCTGCAGCTCGCTGCTTACAGCCTTTCGTTGTTACTGGAGAACAATTTTCAACGCCACACACCGAAAGCACTGCTACCAACCAGTGAACACTCGTGTTTATTTCAGTTACCGTGTGACGTAATTTGTGATGAGCCCCGGTCCCTTTCAAATTGTATCATTATTTATGTACGGTCCATATATTTGAAATGACGTTTCACATTCATCTAGTGATGGCCGATTTTCATTCGAATTATCGATTAATCGATTAACGAACCGAAAAGTAAAATATTTGTAATCGGTTATATCATGCCGATATAAGCATTAACTTCTCCAGAGGATCATCACCGATCGTTTCAAACATGTGCTGCACTCTCATTGGTGGAAAAATGGCAGCACAGCGAACAAAAAAAAATCGATTAGTTGTTAATCGAGTAATTAAAAAATGGGACAGCTCTGATTTTGGTGTGTTTGTTTTGATCAAAATGAGCGCAAAATTTCATCTTCACCGAGGGGGCAGCAAAACCACAAAATTACCTTGAATACGGGGGGTATTCATTGGATGAAAGGGACCGTGAAAGAGGGCACTAAAATAGAAAGTTTTTCTTCCGACAGTTTCATCTTAGTATTCATCTTTGCTGCTACTGCTGCTACTAATTTCGACGACCGAACACCACTACACAGTGGTGTGGTCGTTGGGAGCGTGTGGTTCTGAGTATGGCGATGAGTGTGCAAAATATTACGCAATTCCATCCTCCCTATTCGCACGCGCCCGAGGATTGGAGGCGAATGCCACCTCGACTTGTTTCGTCTACTTACTACTCTCTGACGACTGTGCTGGGGAAGCAGCATATGCATGTAGGTAATTGATGGATTTATTAGTTAATTCGACGCTTTTGGACAATGCTGGACATTTACCAGTTTTTCAATAGTATCTTGTTTAAAATCAACATTCGGAAGCATTGTTATCGATGCGTAGGCATATTTCTGATCGATTGGTGATAAAATTATTGAAATTGGACCAGAGGCAGCTGAGTTATTAACGTTCAAAATCTTTCTTAATTTGTTACATGTTCCATTTTCGGTTTTCACAAAGTGTACCCCCATATAGAAATCAAAGACGTAGTCCTACGTCAAAAAATCTTAACTTCTATGAATATCCCCAAACTTGAAAAAAGTTCCGCTAGGTTTTTTGAATTTTTTACAAAATTCCCTGAAGAAGTTCTAAGAAGATCCCTGAAGCTATTGATACATCCCTGAACTTAAACGAAGCTCCCTGAATTTCTATCAAATTCACTTCCTTTCTCTTAAGATCGCTAACTTTCACTACTCTTCTTCAAAATGTACTGAACTTCTATAAAATTCGTTTTTTTTTTCTTTGTAAAAGAGATAACACAAAATTCGCTGAACTTTTACAAAATTCGCTGAATTCTACGAAATTTTCATCAAAGTTAGCAGAACTTATATGCAGTTCAGTGAACTTCTATGAATATCCCAGAAGTTCTACGAAGTTTCCTGCATATCAACGAAGTTCTTTGGAGTTCTAAAATGTTCTCTGAAATTATACGAAGATCTCCGAGCTGCTACAAAGCTCCATGCAATCTAATTTTCCTTTGACGTCACTTCTGTTTTGCCACTTAGTTTCATACATCAGAAATATCGAACACAATCCCCCCATCCCCGGTTGCAAATTTAGAATGTAGAGCTGATGACATTTCATCCATTTCGTTTAATTTTTATTTTCAACATGTACCTGATATCGAGGATGCTAGCTATTATCGCTAATTGTGGTAAGCCTCAGGTGATAAATCACACACAAGCGTTAATGAATTAGCACGAAAGATTCATAATAATAAAAAATCTACTTTAAAGAGGATATCAAATTAAGTCCATCGAATAAACCATCTCATGTGTGATTTAATTTAGACTTTCATATGATAGGGCGAGTCTTCACCTGATCTGACGAAAGTTATTGCGTCATGGATAACCTTTCCTAAATAATTTGCACCTATGTTGGGTGATATAAGAGGTAATGCTTAGGCAAGGCTCATGCATGCTCTGGGAGACAATATGACCTTCGTGCCAGAATGTCGCGCGGTAGGTACCTTTCTCTGCATGGCGTCATCATGATTCAGTAAATTACGTGAGTATTTGCTACTTAAAAGACGTTCTGTGTGTGTGTGAACCGTGGCGTAACAGCTTGAAAGGGGTGGTTTTATGATGTAAATAAGGATTTTGTTGCCTTGGTGGATTTATACTACATAGGCCACACCACGTGCACGTTGTGGTTGACACACTTACCTGACATTTCAGGACCGCAGTATTTCCCGTCATGACATATTCGTCATGTACTTGTACATTATACTTCTGATTAACGACTGGAAGAAGAGAGAAAAAGTGGAAATTAGAAAACCGCTTAAGATGATGTGCTTATCATACGCCTGCTCCAGTAGTTGGGAAAATTATAATTTTCTTCTCACATGTGCTGGGGTATAAGGGCCGATCCATAAATGACGTAGCATATTTTTGACCAAGTTCAGACCCTCGTAGCGTATTTTGTTATACCTAATACATCACAACATCTGAAACCCCCTCCCCCCTCAAATGCTGCGTCATTTATGAATGTTCTTTAAGGGATTTAGAAAATAGGATGTTTAAGTTCGTACTGCACCTTAGTTGTTCCCTAGCAACTTCTCGTCAGGAAAATCTTACGGTAGATGGGTTACATACCAACTTTTTGGTTATGATGGTTGGTGATGATGTTAATGTCATCTATTCATCATAAGCAGGATACGTGACAGAATTAGAGTAATGCTCTAGGCTCATAAATTTGCTGTATCATGATTGTTTACATGTGTGAAACATTATATTGATCCTGAATTACCGCAGGGGGTTTGTGGCCATTTTCTTTTCCACCCACAGTGGATCCATCTTTTTATCGTTAATACGTTATTCATAGGGTGATTTTACAAACTTTATTTTGAGTCATCTGTAATACCGTAATCCGGGAGAAAATTGATCTCCGTGCAGAAATTTATCATTATGCCATGCACTTTTATCTGACATATACAATATTCAGTGATAGATATCAATATAAATCTTAACAGCATTTCATAATAAGACACCAATGATTGCCTTGATGAGTTACTCATAACGAAAAAGTATATTTTATTGCATACATTTATATTTTATTGTGCTGACGTTCAATAGCATACAATACAAAATTCAATCAAACGAGCATAGGGCTACAAAGATTGTTGTAATTACCATGCAAGCAGCGTTTTTTTTTTACTGAAATAAGTGTCAATAAATCTGAGTTATTAGATAAATTACGCCAGAATGTTTCCAATACAGTGGCATTTCGGTTTTATCACGGTTTGTTTTTTCCTACTCTGTTTATATAACTCTCGGTTTTGTTACGAAAAGTGTTTCGCATATACGACTCTCAACGGACTGTTTTTAATTATTCTGTTTCCAGTCCCGTTGGGAATAACCTTGGAGTGCCCAGAGAAGTGTATTAGGGTCCCTGTTATTTATTATGTATATTATGTATATGATTTGCGACGTCTTTTATGTTTTAGCGACATTATTCTTTATACAGATGATACTATGTTATTCATTGCAGCTAAGGATTTAGATTATGCCGTTTTACACTTGAATGAAAATTAGCGTTCTCTAAGTAGATGGTTGAAGTATAAGCATTTGAAGTTGAACACAAGTAAAACTAAATATATGGTAATTTCGCGGAATCGAGTAAATAAGAACGTCTCTATTGTAATTGATGATGAGACTATTGATCGCGTTCGGAAAATGATGATGACAAACTTAACTTCAACTCTCACATTGACAATGTCATCAAGAACATTGCCAAGAAGTATAGAATTATATGTCGACTGAAAAACGATTTGACTATTTCCAGTAAAATACAGCTTTACAAATCAATCATCTCTCATCATATAGACTTTTGCCCTCCCATTTTATTTATGGCCAATTAAATACAAACCTCTAGATTACAGCGCTTGCAGAGTAAATTCTTGACGAAGTTTTCTCTAACGGATTATTTTTGTATGGATAGCTTCCATAGTAAATTTTTCCCTCCCCTTGGCTAGTTGTTGCATCTTGCTATTGGTGGGTGGGCTTAATTTCATGCTTTATAGTGGAGTGTTGGAGACGGTAGGTTTATGGCCGGCGTTGCTGGCTCACACCGCGATAGAACGGTGCCATGGGCAGGAGATGGAGATTTCTAAGCTTCCCCTCTCTGATGAACCACTGCTTGAGAGAACCAAAGATCTAGTCTAGCAGTGATAGTATCACACTTGTTACTCCTTTGTTTGAAAGCCACTTTGTAGTACGCTTTCGTTTAGGCACTGACGTTGGGTGCGATACTGGCGGGTTTTTTTTAGCAAATCACTCTTCTGCGATTTTAGTTTGCAAGGGAATTATACTATTGAAATATTTCAGAAAGTGCCCAACAGTGCTCCTTCTATTTGTGTGACAAGCTTTTATTGTTGTTTTCATTGAAGTATTACTCAGGTAAAAATGTTAAACACCATTTTTGTACATGGAAAATATTGTACCTAATCTTATATGTGCTTGATTTTGATTTAGGATAAGAGTTTGAACTACGGCTAGGAATTTCCACTGTGGCGTGCTTATATTGTGACATACCCATACGTATTTTTGTGGTGCGACATAGTGGAAGCGTGTGAGCATAGTTGGAGCATATACCCTATATAATTTAAAAATCAGCATTCTAGTTACTTGAAGGTGTCACCTCTGGGTCGAACAAAGATATAATAAATATAGGTCAAAGTCAAAAGTACTTGAAACACGTTTAATTTTAGATTACAAGCACAAATGCAGCAGCGCCGGTGGTGTAGTGGCCAGCATGATTACCTCTCACCCCAGCAGGCCTGGGTTCAATCCCAGTCAGCGCCGCCGGGATGTTCTGAGGCATAGCATATCTGATCACAACTTCCTTCGGAAGGGAAGTAAAGCCGTTGGTCCCCGGGTAAAGAGTTGATGGGTCAATAAGTAAGGTCCAGGTGTGGGAGCTGCCTCCCTGGCGTCGGTACCATTGGTGCTCAGCACGGAAAACAAGATCGACGGAAAACAAATCAAGGAAAAAAAAAAAGCATAAGTGCAGGTACTTCATAAAGCATGGGTTATTATTGATTAGGCGAATTAGAGATTTCATTTTTTTTTTAATTAAATTAGACTAATTAGATATCAAAATCATCAAATGAACTCAAATAAGAAAGTAATAACATTAAATAGATTAACAAAAGAATTAGGATGCGGGGGGTCCGCTTAGGGAGGCAACTACACAGTTCGAAAAAGTAGTGTAGATTTCTGTTCAATATGATGCACATAAATGGAGCGTCCCTTATCATATACGTTTACATTATATATCATGTTAAGTTCTGACACATTTCATGCAATGTAGCAAATATTGTATACAAAAGCCCATTTTCGTGAACAACATTGTTTGCAAGTTGCTCGGTTGCGTGAAATGAAATACAAGTCTACGTGAATCAATGTTTACATCACAATTAAAATTAAGAATTTTTATCTGTGTAACCTTTAAAGAGGTAGAATAAATCTTCGTATTTAGTCTTGAACTTCAATAAAAAAAACGCAAGCAGACCAATAGCATTAAGCAGATTAACAAGGAGAGGAATAGTAGGAAATAAGTCAAATTATAGGTTTGTGACAATTAATAGCTTTTAAACTTTTGGAGGTATTGTTTTATCATGACTTTATTGTATTCGATTACTATATTATTCTCTCAATACGTGAAATCTCAGATATACGAGGTTAAAGCATTTTAAGAGGGAAAATGTCCCGGTATCCACCGTATACCGTATGCTGGCATCCATGGCAGTAACTAGGAAGAGAGGTAGCGGTTTTCTAACGAAGATAATGAATAGGAAGACACTCTGCTCGCTGCACAACATGTTCAACAACAAGGATTCGGTAAGTCAACGGGAAGCAGCCAGAAAGTTCGAAGTCACACGTCTGCAAGACTCTAAGGAAAAGGGAATAGTGTGTAGAAAGAAAACCAGAGCACACTGACGAGCGAATGTTGACTATTGAAAATTTGCTTGTTTTACCTTGGACATACATAATGGCCATATCAGTATTATTAGCCATATCGAGTCTATTGGAGCCATTTATTCACAGCTAAGTAATAACGATCATGCGGTATTGCTTGGTGATTATAATCAGTCAGGTTTTATCTGGAACACACCAAACAACGAAGATGCTTTGGTTGATGTATTACAGTCTCACCTCTCTGTTGCTTGTGCCTCGTTACTTGATGATTTTAGTCTACATGGGCTATTTCAAGTCAACCATATTACTAACCAAAACGCTCGAATCTTGTATAATGCATTCGTAAATGAAACAACGCTACCTGCGTACATGATTCATGAAGCTGTAGAACCAATTTCTCTTATTGACGTCGAGCATCCCGCTTTTGAAGTCACTATTAAACTCTCCCAACCAAATACATTCGACAATTTTCCAAATGAAGCTGGTACTTGACTTCCGCCGTGCTGATTTTGAAGGATTATTAGAAGAGCTCCGCTAAATTGACTGGCAAATCCTAGAATCTGCAGAAGACATCGACAGTGCTGTTTTGCATTTTACCAATGTGTTGATTAGTTACATGGTTGATTATGTTGCCCTGCGCAGGGGAAATGCACACTGACGACGACTTAAACGTATAAGATCTAAAACTTTGCGAACCAACTGCCAATCTCGCTGTCCATTCGCCAAGCAACGTGCCAGTATTAATTATCGCAAATATAACCGTTTTCTGTTCAAACGCTACTGCATACAAACGCAAGAGTATCTACGCAGACATCCACGACATTTCTGGAAATTCGTCAATTCCAAACGTAAGGAGGATGGATAGCCTATTGAGATGTTTCTGGACATCGAAATCGCCAATTCCGCTTAAAAAAAGTGCAATTTGTTTGCCAATCAGATGATGTGGTGTCTGCTCTCTGAGTCGCTTTTTAATCACGCCGCAACAGGTGTTCTCCGCAATCAACGAATTGAAGTACTCTATGATCAGTCCAGATGACATACCCTCTTGTATCCTCAAAAAAGCGGCGATGAGTTGGTTTTCCCTCTTGTGATACTATTTTCAACATTTCCTTGTGAAAGTGTACGTTTCCCGCAAGTTGGAAGACGCCAGTAATGCAACCACTGGGAATTAGCCAGGATATTAATATTAATTTGTATATGTATTTGTACTAGTCTACATCGGTTGATGAAATTAGCCAGGATATTGTGAATTACACCGGAATAACTTCACTGTGCGCTTGTTCAAAGTTTTTTGAAATCATTATGAATGATGTGCTTTACGATT